AAAGGAGACAGGGGGGAGGGGCTGGAGGCGAGGCTGAGGGCTATGCCTTGACCCACTGCCCCTGAAACTCAGGCTATGCCTGCCCAATGCAGTGCCAAGAAGCGGAAGCCAGCCTGGACAGACCGCATCCTCTGGAAAGTCAAGGCTCCAGGTGGAGGTCGCAGCCCCTCGGGGCACGAGAGCTACCGGCTCCAGGTGACCCAGCACAGCTACCGCAGCCACATGGAATACACAGTCAGTGACCACAAGCCTGTGGCTGCCCAGTTTGTCCTGCACGTGAGTCCTGGCCTCACCCTCTTCTCATGACACACCCAAGCCCAGCTCAGTATTCTGCAGCCCACCCCTTTCACCTGCCCTTAACAGCACCCATTTGTGTAGCAAAGTGGGAATGGGTTATGATCACCGTTTTCAGATGAAGAAACTGAAGCTCAGAGACACAACATCACTTGCCCAGGGTCACACAGCTGGTAAAGGGGAAAGTTAGGAATTGAACCCAGGCTAATTTGATTCCAGAGCCCATGCCTTTTCCACTATCTCTAACTCTCTTCTTCCAAGAAAAGTTTAGGGCAACTTATGTTAAAATTCACATTTATTGTAAGACCAGAAAACTCAAAATGTTTACTCAAATCCCATGCAGCATTCATTCATATTCACTTATTATTTCTTTACCATCATACCATATGCCAGTCACTATAAGAAAAAGGTAGTGATGGGGAAAAGGAGGAGAGATACAAAAAATACAAAGCTAAACTCTACATAGTTATTTAGCATTGTGTTTAGGATTGGGGTCCCTACTTGCCCCAACAGAAGGGGAAATGCAAGAATGTCAAAACTGCACCTGAGAGACTATGTAATCCAGCTCTCTGTTTTTCTGTAGAGAAACCGAGGCCTCTAGTGTGGTAGGCATGCACCCAAGTCGCACACAGGCTCAATGGCAGAGCAGGATAGATTCCATCTTTCCAGCCCTGAAACCCAATGCTCGGCTCTCTGACTCTTGATCTGATAAGAGGGAGCACTGCAGGCCAGAGAATGTTTTCCTTGGTAACTTTGTCACGTGAGAAAGGAAATATTCCTATGTCTGGCCTCTTGTGACCTTTGGTAAAATGCTTGGATGTGAGGTTTAACCCTCACCTTGAGAACCACTCCTTTTGGATTCCCTTCCCTGACCCTCCCTGCTCATCCAGGACTCTGTCCCTTGTAAAACATTACCTGTTGAGCACCTACTACATGTGAGGCCCTATGTGAGGCCTTGTGTGGGGCACTTTACACACGTTATCTCTTTGAATGCCTTCGTAGGCTCTGAGATGTCCAAACTCTCCTCTCAGTCTTACTGGTGAGGAAAACTGAGGCTCAGAAAACTTCAGTCTCTTACTCAAAGCAACAAAATCTGAAGAGGAGTTAGTGGGAGTTTTGACCCTGCAAGGCCCTGGAGGGCATTTTAAATTGCCCACCCTGGCTAGGCCAGCTGTTGGGAACCTGCCACCCTGGCTAGGCCGGCTGTTGGGAACCGGCTCTGGGCAGTTTGCCTTCAGAGATGACAGACCGCTGGTGCGGCTGGAGGTGGCAGACGAGTGGGTGAGGCCAGAGCAGGCTGTGGTGAGGTACCGCATGGAAATTGTGTTCGCCCGTAGCTCCTGGGACTGGATCAGCTTGTACTGGGTGAGAAGGGCGGGGTGGTCAGTGACTTGGGGAAGGAAGGACCTAGAACCTAGAGGCAGTGAGAGGCTGGGCTATTTTTTTTCTGGAGCAGTTTGGTTCAGAAGCTGAGAAGGGAAACCTGACACCGGATAAATAGGGAGCAGACAAAAGCCTGAGGCTGGCACCACCTGAGCCTTCTCTGGGGGACAGAGGTGGAGCCAGTCCCCCAGCCACCTGCTTCCCAGCAACCCCACCCATGTGAGTGACCCTGGGCGGAGTACTCATGGTTATAAACTGTCTTTATGGACTGATGACAAAGTCATAGTTACCTCTTTAAACAGATGAGGAAGCTGAGTGTTGGGTTGGCTAGGGGCTCACCTGAGGTCACAGGGCAAGTTAGTAGCAGAACCTAGAACTGAACTGAGGTCTCCAGGCTTTCGCCCAGGGCTCTTCTTGCCCACTCAGGGGTATTCAGTTTGCCCCGGAATATTCTGTACATCATGTCTCCTTTATAAGCATAAAGGCAAATCATTAACTGCACACCTACTGTGTCCTGGGAAGTTTATGGGATGCTTTACAAACAGTAGTTCACTAGATCTGCTGAACAACCCTAAGAGTTAAATAAGATCATCCAAGTTTATAGACAAAAGCTCTGGCATTCAAAGAGGTTGAAAAATTAACCAAGGGTCATGCAGCCTGTTAATGATAGAGCCAGGGCCAAACCCATGGTCCACTAACTTCAAAGCTGTGTTCTCATTCAATCCTTAAGGAGGCTCTGAACAGAAAGAGCCCTAGTTTAGGAGGCAGGAAACCTGACATTTATCCTAGACCTGCTCTGCCTCAGTTTCCCCATCTCTACCATAGCTTCAGAGGCCCTTATCTCAGTCTGTTTGTACTGACTCAGGCCCAAGGGTACGTGGGATATTAGATGGTCTCCGCTGACTGTTGCCTCCTGTCCCTGGGCAGTTTGCCTTCAGAGACGACAGACCACTGGTGCGGCTGGAGGTGGCAGACGAGTGGGTGAGGCCAGAGCAGGCTGTGGTGAGGTACCGCATGGAAACTGTGTTCGCCCGTAGCTCCTGGGACTGGATCGGCTTGTACCGGGTGAGAAGGGCGGGGTGGTCAGTGACTTGGGGAAGGAAGGACCTGGAGGAGCAGCTGGGTACCCAGGTGGGATCATGGCTTCTTCAGAGTTTGATGCCACACGGGGAGGCTGCTGGGGTCAGGCCATAGGGGTGAGAGCCCCGATTCTTCTCACCCCAGGTCGGTTTCCGCCACTGCAAGGACTACGTGGCTTATGTCTGGGCGAAACACGAGGATGTGGACAGGAATGTCTACCAGGTACTCAAGGGAAAAGGAGGAGGGGAGAAAGTCCCCACTGCCTGTGGGGGGTTCTGCGGCAGCCTCCCTGACCCCAACCTGGGCTTATTCCCTGGGTCCACCAGGTGACATTCAGTGAGGAGTCGCTGCCCAAGGGCCATGGAGACTTCATCCTGGGCTATTACAGCCACACCCACAGCATCCTCATTGGAGTCACTGAGCCCTTCCAGGTGAGTAGGCCAGACTGCAGGGTCAGGGGTGCCAAAAGACCCCATTCGAATGCCACAGCCTCTACATTCTGCCCCGTGGCCTTTGACGAGTAGGCTGACCTCCCTGGGTCTGTCAAGAAGGAGCTTTGGAGTGGTTCCTAGAGGCCTCAGGGGCCAACTGGGGATCGGAGCACTCCAGCGACCAACCTTCTCGCACAGATCTCGCTGCCTACCTCGGAGGTGGCCAGTAGCAGCACCGACAGCTCAGGTACCAGCTCGGAGGATGAGGACGACAGCACCCTGGAGCTGCTCGCACCCAAGTCCCGAAGCCCCAGCCCTGGCAAGTCCAAGCGGCACCGTAGCCGCAGCCCAGGCTTGGCCCGCTTCCCTGGCCTGGCCTTACGGCCCTCTTCCCGTGAACGCCGAGGCACCAGCCGGAGCCCCTCACCCCAGAGCCGTCACCTGCCCTGTGTGGCCCCCAACAGGGGCAATGATGGAGGCAGCCAGGGCAGCAGTGAGGAGGGGCCCTCTGGGCAGCCTGGCCCCTGGGCCTTCTCACCATCTGTGCCTCAAAGCCTAGGCTTGCTGCCTGCCTTGCGCCTGGAGACTGTAGACCCTGGAGGTGGTGGCTCCTGGGGACCTGATCAGGAGTCCCCAACCCCAGACAGCCTGTCTCCCAGCCCCCAGGGCCGGCAGAAGTTGGAGGAAGGGGGCCTGGGGCCCTGAAGGCAGGGTGGGCTGGTGGGTGCAGATGGCTCCCACTCTGCCCCAACCTTCTGCAAACCCATCTGCCTCCCTCCTGCTGCTGCTCCAGCTTTATCCACGCCTGTCACTCTGTCCTGGCCAGGAGCGGCCAACTGGGGTTCCCTCAAATCAATCCTGGCGCCTCAACTGTGACAATCAGCCAAGCCCTCTCTAGGCCCCCATCTGGGATGGGGTGGTGGGGCAATTCTAGAGGTCACTGATTAGGAATTAAATTCTGTAGCCTCACCTCTGACTCCTTCTTGTTAGCAGTCTGGGGGTGGAAGTAGTAGAAGAAAGGGACCAAAATAGAGGACGACAGATCTGACAATTACCAGGCACCAGCTGTTTACATTACGCATGCCATCTCCTTTAATCTGCACCTCAGCCCGGAGTTGTAGTGTTGAGTTCAGAGCAGTTCTTGGCCCCATTTCCCAGGCCTCCAGCAAGTTACATGACCGTGGTCTGGCAGTGTATGTCAGAGGGAGCAAATATTTACTAGGTCCTAAGCATTGGCTGTGTGTTAGCAACACTATGAGTAGGTCCTGTTTATACTAGTCTTTTTAAAGGAGGAAACAAAAAGACTCAGAATTGGGGAAGGAGATCCCTTGATCAAGGGCACAGGGGAGATTTGAATTTAGGTTTAGGGCAGAAAGAGTAGGCCAGGGAGGGCACAGCAGCTGTTCAGAGAAGGGGTCCCCCAGGGGGAAGGGGTTGGAAGTCCCTCTCTAGTGCACCCCACCTTCGATTCTGACACGGGCACCTCTGTGGCGTCCTTCATTCCCTACGTGCTGCCTCGGGCCTCAGGGGGCAGGCACTCAGGCGCCCCCGGGCCGGACTCTGAGACCTGTATTCACTTTGCAACATTGCGCGCACCTCCTCCCAGTGTGTACTGAGGCTGCTGCAGTTAGTTACCCTCTCCCCATTCCCCATCCGCAGTGAAGTTCCTTCCCTGGCAAAGTCCAAGCACAGAGGCGTTGTGTCATCAGCTCAAGATCAACCAGCACAGCAGGAGACGTCGTCCAGCATTTGGGCCCTGGGCCCCTCTTCCCAATCCAGCCTCCTGGCTGTCCCAAGAGCCTGTGCCATGCTTCGGCGTAACACATGGAGAGAAGGCTGAGACCCCGAGGGCCTAGCAAAGCCGGGGGCAAGGTCCAGTCTGGTGCCCATGAAAGCTGGAGCTGAGGTCACTGGTTCCAGGATTTCTGCCGCTCTTTGGGTTCTCAGGCTGCCTGGGTCAGTTGCAGGCACTGGTCATAGAATGACATTGGGACCCTTGGGTGCTTTGAAGGCCATGCCTGCCCATCATCTCTGCCTGTACCCCAGAGTCTCCTCTGCTGAAGTCGCTGCAAGTGCCGAGCTGACACCTTGATGGCCCTCGGGCCCCTGGAACAACTGTGGGGAGAGAAAGGTGGGGCAGACGATCATGGCTGCCAAGGATCCCACCCTACTCTGCAGATGCAGGAATGGAGGCGCAGAGGAGCAGGGCTAGAGCCAGGGAGGGATGGTTCCACTAGGAGGGGGCAGATCAACCTGGGCTGGCGCCCGGAGGCCTGGTTCTGCCACTGCCTGGCTGCATAAACCTGGGCCCCTCTCTGCCTGCTTCCTCAGCTGTGAAATAAGAAAAGTAACAAGGGGCTGGTTTTGAGAATCAGAACTGAAATGAGATTCTGGGTTGAACAAGCATGTTACTACCTGCCTGCAGGCCTTAGACGGTGTGCACCACACATACCATTTCCTTCGCTTCCACAACCATTTTGCAAATAAGAAAATAGAGGTGATTCAACTTGCCAGGCCACATAGGAAGTAAATGACGGAGTCAAGATGCAACCCACCTGGACCAACTGCAGAGCTGAACCCAGGCACCAGGGGACATGACAATGGAGTTCAGATGTCCCTGCCCCCTGCCACCATCAACTTGGCCCAGGTGAACAAAGCAGGGGTAGAGGCAACCCACCCCCTTGGGAAAACCATCCATCCCTCTTGGCTCTGCTGTCACTTACTCTTTGCTCTCAGCACAGTCCAGTGGAAGGGCCAGCTTGAAGCAGGTGGTGCCCAGCGGCTCCAAAAGCATGTAGGCACCTGAGGGTGGGCTGTGGAGCCTCAGGAACCGCGCTAGTCTGAAGGCAGAGGCAGGCTTAGGCTGGGGCAAAGCCTTGCCTGCCAGGTGCTCCTTCCCAGTGCCTGGCAGCAGGCAGCCCACCCCCAAGGGTCCAAGGAAGCCTCACCGGCGCGTGCAGGTGCAGTGGAAGAGGGGCTCTTGGTTACTATTGAACAACTGGAACTTGGTTTCTTGGGGCCCGATCTGGTGTTCACACTGGTCCAGGTGGCGGAAGCCGCGGCAGGCCTGGTGGGTGGCTGGGGGTGGCATGGTGGTGATGGTAGGGCCCAGTCCCCCAGGGAAGCCCCAATGATACCCACTGCCATCCAGAAGAAACACCAGCACATGGACTCAGTCACACACGCACAGACTCCTTCCATCTCATGCCTACCGACCTTATAGTGCCAAACATAGGGGACGCGCGCCCGTGCGCGTACACACACACACACACACACACACACACACACACACACACACACACAGAGCAGTGCTGCAGTGGTGGGGGTCCCAAGTGCAGAAGGCGGTCAGAAAAGGTTTTCTGCAGGCAGGGGCTGCTAAGCAGAGGCGGGAGAGCGCTCCAGCAGAAGGAACAGTGTGTGCAAAGGCCCACAGGTGGGCGAGAGCAAGGTGCTTTTGAGGAAACAAATGAAGTTTGTGAAACTAAAGTTTAGACAGGGGAGTAGGGTCTGCAGAAGCAGTGCCCAGGGGCCCCAGGGTGTTGGGACATTGTCAACTGAGGTCAGAGGAGCCACGGTCGGGGCTCAGAGGAGAGTGCCATCGTCAAGTTTGGAGCTTACAAAAATCCCTCTGCTGCAGCATGATTTGATGGGAGAAGTTCGGAGACCCCAAGAAGAGTTGGGAGCAGGGAAGGAAGTAACATAGGGCTCCCACACGTGTACAGAGGCAGGGACAACTCCTCCCATCAGGGACCCCCCTCACATCAGGGACCCCCCTCACATCAGGGACCCCCAATGAAATGTTCTGAGCTCACCCTCAGGTTTTAGGGCAGCTTGTGGCCCCTGAAGACCTGGATGGGTGATCTTCAGCCTGGCTGTGGGGGTCATATCAGGCCAAGGGGAGGCCATGGTGGCCTGGAGGGTGGTGGCATTGTCTTTGCTGGGCTGCTGGGGCCCTTCCTGCTGTGATGGCCACTGCTGAGGGTACTCGTTCTGTCGTGACTTGCTGGGGGCTGGACTCTGGGGGTCGGGAGTCACGGGGATGGCCGGGAAGCTCCAGGAGGCATTGTAGATGGTCTTAGGCTGGAGGCGGGCGAAGGGTATGGAGCCATACATTCTACACCTAGGAGGCAGCAATTGATGACAATTGGTAACCTAGAATCCTCCCTTCAAGAAGCCTCCTGGGTTCATCTCCATGGAGACCAAGGCTCTGTCAGCCCCACCCCTCATCCCACTGGGAGGTGTGGGGCACCCAGGGAGGGTTTGTATCCTGGCCCCACCCTGAGGAGGGGGAAGAGAGGATGAGGCATCATTCCCGAGTGGACAGACATACAGCCTCCCTCCCTGGGAAAGGTCTTGAAGAAGGCAACTACGTACCCGCCCCACCAGTACCACGCCACACAGGCCTCCTGCTCCTCCAGCACAAAGCAGGGGATCTCCAGCACATTGAAGAAAGCCACGCCCACGATATCTGAGATGGAGTCCCGCTGCTTCTGCAGGCATTGCTGGAACCTGCCCCAGAGCCAGCACTCAGGTCCCTGGATCACACAGAGCCACCTGGCTCCTCCCCAAGCCCAAGCAGCCACTACCACCACGTGGTTTGGGTTCCAAGAATTCCGTTTCCGCTCAGGCCTCAGCTTTCCCACCTGCACAGTGGGTTCCAGCCTGTCTGATCCTTTAAGGTTCACATGAACGTGAGTCTCTGAACCCAGGAACTGAGTAACTCCACCTCAGCCCTGCGTCCCCTGCCCCCTGCCAACCTGGCATCACAGTCGCAGTGAGAGATGGTGTGGAATCGGTAGTTTCGGATGCCGTAGTTGTACTGGAAAGGCGAGATGGTCTGTGGGCAGCGGTCGTGTTCCCGGCAGCAGAGATCAGGGCCCCAGAAGACCCCTGCGGGGAGCAGAGGGGGCACCAGCTCAGCAGGGTCTTGGGTGCCACACCAGCTATGCCCATCTGATGTCGAGAGCAGAGACCTGGTTCGCAGCCCAGCCCTGGGTGGCCTCAGGCCAGTCGCTCTCCTTCTGCGGGACTCACAGTTTCACAGCTGAAGGAGAGCACCCAGGCAGAGCTTCTCCCAGGGGCCTACCCAGGGGCCCTTAGCCACAGGAAGATCTTCCCGAGAGGACTCGGGAGGCAGACCCAAGCTCACACCCAAATACAACTATGAGGCCAGGAATGTGTATGGAATGGAATGATAAACAGGCAGGGTGGAACCTCGCTTGCTGGCTTGTGAAGCATTGTCAGGATGCCAACCTGCTCCAGCTCAGGTGCCAAGTCCTCCCCCAGCCCTCCGCACACACGCGCAGACAGCTGTGCTGAGGCTGCAGAAAAAGCCATTCGTGTTTTTCACCATATGAGCAGTGATAGCACCTTTTCCTGAGCATTTCCCCAGTGCCCGGCACGTCCCACACCCAAGCTCACGGTAGCCCTGCAAGAAAGGTGCCACTTCCACTGTCCAGGTGAGGAAACGGAGGCTCAGAGCTCTCGGATGTGCTAAGCTGGTATTTGAACCCAGGCCTCTGGGTCTCATTGTCCACTCCGTTGGGTACTCTGTGCTCCTAAAGTCTGCTCTTAGGAAATGGCTTTTGAGCTCAGCTGACACCGGATCCACCTTCAGATGGTGATTAATGAGGACTCCCTGGTGTGATTAGGACCTTTTCCACCTATGACCTCATTTAAGCATCCCATGATGAGGCCCTTGTTTTACAGATAAGGACATTGACATTCACATATTTAAGTCACTTCCCCCCACCGCCCCCAAGGACACACAGCCTGGGGAAGTGGAGGCCCGGGTAAAAGCCTGAACTTCCCCTACCCCAGGCCCCAAGCCCACACCCCCATGGCTCACCCAGCTCCGTGGAGTTCCTGGCGGAGTCCCCGACTCCGCACCACAGTGTGCCAGGCATGGTCCAGCCTCTCTTCCCCCGCTGGTGTGCTACGCCAGGTGCTTCACTCTGCTCTGTTGCTCGCTTCTCCCTGGCTCCTGCTTGACTCTTCTCAGACCGGCAGGCCTCCCACTGACTCTGGAGGGTGGCCAGGGCTCTCTGCAGCTCAGGTCCAGGAGCGTGGATGAAGAAGCCCCGAGTGATCTCGCCAGCACAGAGAGCACTGAAGGCTGCAGTGAGCTCTGGCTCATCCTGCCAGTTACATGTCTGCAGCCTCCCGTGCCCATCCCAGAGGGCATGAAACAGGGCCAGCCCCTGGGCATCCGTGCCCAAGAAACTTAGGGACCCCATGGGGCTGCCAGGGATGGGCCTGGACAAGTGACAGGAGGTGCTGTGCCAGCGGAAGGCAGGAGAGTCCCCCAGAGTAGACCTCAGGCAGGTCAGCACCCCCAACAGCACTCCCAGAACCCCCATTCCACAGTGGCCCGGCCCAGTCAGACAAAGCCCCCAAGATGGGACGACTATCTCTGACAGCCCACGAGGCAGCAGCTCAGGAGCTGAGCGGAAACGATGCCCAGCAGACCCGGTGCAGCGGGGCCAATGAATGGAGCCTTGGGAGGAATAGGAAGGAGGCTGGAGTATGGGGTGATCACAAGCTTGTAACTGAATCCACCGGCTGGGCAGGACGCTGATTGGCTGAGGAGCGCACTTGCCGAGGCCCACGCCCCCACTCACCCTGCCTTTCTCATTGCCATCCTGTCACCTGCTGCCAGCCCCGCCTGGATGGGGACTGTGGGAGCCAAAACCCTGGGCCTCGGGGGCGGGGCCAGGAGAGTTCTATATCTCCCCAGGGAAGGAAGATGGTTCAGGGGCTAAAAGGAGGCTCCTAGATCATCCTTATCTCCCTTCTCCAGGAATGGCTGCCATGCACCCTGCCTCCATGAAGTTGGCAGGAGGCCATTGTCCTTCGCCACAACTGGGTGAAACAGGTGAGGGCACTACTGAAGCTCTGTGGCCACCCCATCCCCAACTTCTGGGAAAGGGAGGCTTTTAGGAAAGAGGGCAGCTGGGTCTGACCACCTAGAGTGCTCACTCCAAGTGCTGGTTCATAGAAAGGCTCTTGGCATCCCCAAGGGACAGTGTCTCAGGGCTCCCCACTTCCTGGGAGTCCAAGCACAGGCCTAGCTCCTGGCGTGATAGACAGCGGGTGGAGACACGGCCAGAGCGGGCCTTGGGAGCAACATGGTGCAGGGCCGATGCTCTGGACTTGAAGGGACTATGGCCCCCCGAGGAACAGAGGATGGCCCAGGAGGCTAAATCTGCAGCCACTTCCATCCCTGGGGGCCACTTCGGGGACACAGCAGGCATCGTGTCTCCCAAGAGACAAGGGTGGTTCATCTGTCAAGAAAGGGCTGTACCCTGCACATGTTTCTATGTCCCAAAGCCAATGTATCATTCAGCATCCAACCATCCGGAGAAGCTGGGGTGCGTACACCCTTAGTGCAGATGAAGAAACTGGGGCTCACGGAGGGTACAGAAACCTCAGGTGACAGGCCCAGCTGGGGAAGGGTGAGAGGCTGGGAGCGCAGCTCCTGAGGGGCTTTGCTGGGATTTCAGGGTTGGCTGGGACACTGACTTGTCCGTTCATTTGCCCCCCCGTCTGCTGTGCCCCCAACATTCTCCCCACCAATCTCCATCCAAATCCCTCCCAGAACGATGAGCCCAGGGAGGCAGAGCCAGGGGCAGAGCTAGGGAAGGGGAGCTCCTTGTACAGAGGAGGGAGAAGGGGGCTGCAGGACAAACAGGCCCATCTCTGTGGCTCCAGAGCCAGCCTGGACCTGTAGCCCAAGAGGTCATTACTTGGATTTAAGGAGAAGTGAGAGAGGGTGGGGGTCGCCTAGGAGCCAAGCTCCTTATCTCCAGACGTTGAGAGACGGGGTTGGAACAGAGCAAGTGGTACTGGAAAGGGTAGGGAGGCATGGTGTCCCCAAAGGCAGGGACAGAACAGAACAAAGGTGAGCACCTCTAGGAAGAGTTATCATTCTGGTAACTTTCCCCAGTTGTAGGAAGTGCCACCCACCTCTGTCCCTTTTTTCCATGTTACAGAGCCCTTCCCTGCACATCACACAGGGAGGCTTGGAGGTTCCACGGCAGGAACCCAACTTTCAAGGTCAGACAAACCTGGCTTATGGCACCTTAAGGTTAGAAGTCTTCACTTCCCTGAGCCTCAGTTTCCTTACATGTATGATGGGCACAATTGCAGTAGTCACTTCATGGATGTTGGGAAAGACTCTCAGCACAGTGACCATCACCCAAAACACTGTCATTAAAGCCTCAGGACACCCTTACACAGAAAGAAGTTTACCCAGGAGAAAGCAAGTCCCAGAGTTCTCGGGCCACAACTGCCTCCGTGATAGCTAGCCCCGCTAGCCCCCTGCTTGGCTGTGTGACTTAGGCTTGGCCCTGCACCTCTCTGGACCTCAGTTTCCTCCCCTGTACAGTGAGGGGTACAGTGAGGTTGACCTTTGAGGTTTCATCCTGTCTGGGCTCCGAAAGGAGGCAGGCTGGGGCCGTCCCAGACCTGGCGGGAGGGTGTCACTGGGTTTTCCCTTCAGATCCCACCCAGCGGCCATGTCAGTCAGCCTACAGAACAGGCTCTGGGGCCCTGCCTTCCACCAGGCGCCCTTCAATGGCCTTGCAGCAGAGGACGCTAGGAGCCAAACCAGCAGGACAGGACCGAGCAGGCTGGGCCCTGCAGGCACAGGGGGGGAAGTGCTTGACTCTGGGTCCCCCCCAACTGGGGTGGGGCAGGGTGCCAGTAGGGAGGGATGGGTAGGGGTCCTTGGGAGAAGGTGTTCCCTCCTCCCTCCCTGTCTGATTGTTTATCCCTGTCTCCCTCCATCAGTCCCCATCACTCTTTATCTCCTCTTGGCTTCTCTCTCCTCTCTCTCTGACCTTAGTATCTTTTCCTCTCTGATTCTGATTCTTATAATTTTCCATCTCCTTCATCCCTCCCTCTCTCCATCTTTCTCTCTCTGACTTTAATTCTCCATCTTATTTTCTCTCACCATTTCTTTCTTATCTTTCTTTCACTCTTCTTCTACTGTCCCTCCATGTTATTCTCCCTCTCTCCCTCCTTAATTTTTCTCCCGCCCTCTCTCGTCTTCTCTCCCTCTCTCTCGGTTTTCCTGTTTCTTTGTGTCTTTTGGCTCTCTCTCTCTCATTCATTCTGCTTCTCTCTCATATTTTTCTCTTTGTTTCTTTGTTCTTTGTTTCTGTGTCCGTGTGTGCCTGCCTCTCCTAGTCCTTCCCTCTTCCTTCTTTCTCTGTCTGCTCTCCCCCTCCTTACCCTGACCCCAGGCCCAGGACCGGGCATGCCCCGCCCTTTCCTATTCACATTCCCCCCCCAACCCCCGACTTCATCTAGTGCTCACAACCCCTGCCCCTCTGGGCAAACGGACAGGGCAGGCCCTCTCATCCCACTGTGGAGATGTATGGATGGGCCCTAGAAGAAAAGTGATTTGCCAGGAGTCACAGAGTGGATGGGGGAAGCCAGGCCAAACATGCCCTGGCGTGTGGGGAGGGCTCCCACCCCCCGTCCTAAAAGATTCTTGGCTCCCCCACAGCCTCCCCACCAAAGGGCTTTCCTCCCCACTGCCTAAACGGTGCCCTCCCTCTGCCCCTTGGATCTGGCCCTCCCGGCCCCACCAGAAGGCCGCCTGCAGCTCTCTGTGCCAGGAGAATGGTGCGGGCAGTGCCCAGCTCCAGGACATTCTGTACTCATTCAAAAACAAATAGTTACTGAGTGTTTACTATGTGCCAGGCACAGAGCAAGACCCTGGACAGAGAGAGGAGAGGAAGGGAGACAGAGCATGCTCAAGATTTGGATAAAGGGAAAACTCATTCCCTGGGATCTGGCAGCCCAGAGGAGTCAGGGCTGGGTGTCAGCCGGGGCCTGCAGGAAGCCACCACCAAGGCTAAGTTCAGAGTGCAAGAGATTTATTGAGGGAAATGTCTATGAAAGATAAAGAGGGAGAAGACAGGAGTGGGCAGGGAAAGCCTTCAAACTCTCTTGCAGATCTGACATCTATGAGGAGAGAGAAGAGAAGGAGGGCTGGGTAACACTGCAGTGCTTCTCCGAGAAAATCTCAGTGCCAAAAGGGAATTCTGATGCAAAGTTTGCCTGTAGATTCCCAGTCCAGGGCACATGCCTGGGTTGCCGGCCAGGTCACCAGTAGGGGGCGTGCAAGAGACAACTACACATTGATGTTTCCTTCTTTCTCCCTTTCCCTCTCTAAAAATAAATAAAATTTTTAAAAAATAACTTGCACCTACTACCTAAAACAGCTACATATATATGTGAATCTTGGAAAGATAAATTGGAACAAGAAAAATCCAACGCTAGAAGGTTACATGTTTAATGATATTGATTATAAAATACTTTATATTTAATTACTTAACTACCCTTTGTGTTAGTTTTTATGTTTGCACTTAAAGACATGATAAGTTATATATAAAGCATAACTTTTATATAATAAACAATTAAACGTTAAAAAGATTTTTTAAATAAATTAGGAATGGGGGGGAGAGAGAGAGAGAGAGATGGGAAATCAGAGGCACTACAGAACTCCTTCTACATAACTGAGCAGCATTAGAAGCTGTGGCAGTTTAAAGGTGGGCACAGGTTCTTTGATACTTGACCCTTTTAATGGAGGAGGTTGGCTCCGGTTGGTGTGGCTCAATGGATTAAGTGCTGGCCTGCAAACCAAGGGGTCATTGGGAGAGTGTTCCCTCTCCCCTTCAGTGTGACTTAGTCCTTTGCTTCTTACAAATAAAATGTGGCAGAAATGAGTTAACTTATGAGACTAAGTCAAAAAAGCACTGTGCCTTGCTCTTTGCTCTCTCTCTGGGATCACTCACTCTGGGAAACCAGTTGGCACATCCTGAGGATACTCGAGCAGCCCTGTGAAGAGGCCCACGTGATGAGGAACTGAAGCCTCCTGTCAACAGCCTTGCGAGACAGACACTTGGAAGACAGACACAGATCTCAATCAAGTCTTCAAATGAGTACAGTACCACCTGACCATTTTTTTCTAAAATGCTTTATTGAGATATAATTCACGTACTTTACACACAATTCACACTTTCACAGTGTACCATTTATACAGCTCTTAAATATGTGTCAGAGTGGTCAAAAATAACATGAAGTGTACCGCTTAGTGGTTTCAGTATGTTCATAGTCGTGCAGCCATCACCATCACCATTAATTCCAGAATATTTTTGTCATTTCAAAAAGAAATCCTGCGACCGGTAACAGCCATTCCACCTTCACCGCAACTCCTAGCCCCAAGTACCCACTAATCTACTACATGTGTCTACAGAGTTACCAATTCTGTATATTTCATATAAATGGAATCATACAATATATGATCTTTTGGCCTAGCTTCTTTCACTTAGCATAATGTTTTTGTGGTTCATCTGTGTTGTAGCAGGTATCAGTGCACGCCGTTCCATTTTATGACTGGATAACACTCCATTGTATGGATAAACCACATTTATCCATTTGGGTTGTTTCTACTTTAGGGCTATA